AAAGTCACTCTAACGGCCACAAACACGGCATTTGATTAGGATTAACTGAACTGAGATCAGATTATCCCGCCTGATCCCTCTCCACCATCTGCCTCGGCTTCTGCGTGTGTGTGTGTGGCGTTTTTTAAGCGCATGTACGTCTCAGTATGAAGACAGCGTTTGCCCTTGGTGTGGGAGCAATGCATCATGGGATTGATGATTGAGTGACCGTGTTTGTCATTGAGCCTTTTTGTTTGTAGCTATAGAGCTCGGGCGTAGACGTTATGGAGCAGTGCATTGTGGGTAACGACGGCCATTTTAGAGCCAACGCAAAGGCCGGTTTGGAATAATTAATAGCGTAACCGGCTGGTTCCCACCCGCACCGAGAAAGTGTTATAGATCGTGACTAAAAAAGTTAGCAAAACTTACACTGACAAAGTTAATAATGAAGCCAAACAACGCTACTACTAAAACATGAGGATATAGGCGGAGTCGATCCCTATAAACACAGAGGGCGCTATTTTAACGATCTGAAACGCAAGTGTCAAGCGAAAAGCGTAAGTAACTTTGTGGGCGGATCTCGGCGCTGTTGCTATTTAACCGGCGGGATAAATGACTCTAGCGCACGACGCAAGTTTAAAACGGGTTGGGTAAGTAGCGTCATTATTCATAGGTGTGGTTTGGGCGTAACGAAAAAAAAAAAAAACCAATCAGAGCGCCATCCAACCTACCCTTTAAGAGCAGGTGCGCGTGTTGCATGACGGATTGATATTATTATTGTGAATTTACCAGGTAATAAAAAAAACTAGGGCTGTCAGTAGCTGTGTCTGAAATCGCTCCCTATCCACTATATAGTGCACTATATCGGGTGTCGGCCATTTTGTAGTGGTGTCCGAATTCTGAGTGAACGACATCATTCCCTACATTCATTCACTACTTTTACCCACAATCCTCTCTGAATTCAAGTGTACATTCGATGTACACTTCCTGAAGCCCTATTTCCCACAATCCAATGCGGAGAGAACTCGAGCGCGCAGGAACATTACATCCAGTGGAGGATTTGAAAAATATCCGTTAATCGTTGTTTTGAACATAATAACGGTCGCCGGAGGGCGCTCGACGACACGTCATCTGTGAACGTGAGAGTTAATGTACAATTTCAGTCGATGAAACTACAAAGCTGGCACGGAGGTATAATTACAAAACAAAGTCATTATGATTGTTATTGTTGCTAATAGTATTTTATAAAGTAGGTAATGTAAGATAAAAGGAGTTTTATCAGTACGCGTGACAAAGCCTTTTCCGCGACAGCTCCAACTCTCCGACGCACAGTGTAAACGTCAGCGTCCGAATTCACTCACTTCATCTCGTTCACTCCTTGCAGATATAGTGCACTCAATGCCATACACTATATAGGGATTAGTGAATGAGTGAACGAGTGAGCGGTTTCAGACACAGCTAGTTTAACGCGTCAATAACGGCGTTAACGCAAACCCATTTTAACGGCGTTAATTTTTTTATCGCGCGATTAACGATCTTTTTGTCCTAACAAACTTTGTCGTTTTTTCACATGCTTTGATCCATTTCGCCGTCTCTCGCTCATCATCCAAAGCCTGTTGTTTTGTTTACGGTCTAGATCCGCTTGCGCTTTGGTCGAAGAAGCAACAAAACGTCCTCGCGCGGCGCAAGCCATTGAAATTGAAAGTTGCCAAATTATCCCATTGACAAGACCAAAGTGATGTGTGTGTTTTGTCGTTGTGAACTGAGCGATCGTCATCGTAGCACGTCCAGTCTGAAACACCGCTTGATAACACACACACACACAGAGATGATGCGAATTCTCCACCCCCTCGTCACTATCAGGACCTCGTCAGTATTTCTTTCACCCTTTTATTGATAGACAGTGTTACATTGTGTGAGAGATTATTTATACATGTTAGTGTGAAATTGAGCACTATTGCAATGTTATTTTCAATAATAATAATTTAAAAAAAAAACATTTGCACTAAACAAGCCGATCCACTTTTTCCTTGTTGATAAGAGCATTAAAATGAGAAAAAAAAATAATGTAACAAAAAGAAATCAAAAGACATTTAGAATAGATAAAAATGTGCGATTAATCGCGAGTTAACTATGACATTAATCGCGATTAATCGCAATTAAATATTTTAATAATTTTAATAAATCTTTAATAAAATTTAATACAATTTTAATATTTTTAATAAATCGTTTGACAGCGCTAAAAAAAACCTAACATGATTTATGAGGCGTTTGCCCCGTCGATCGTGAGCAGTTCACAATACAGCAATTAAAATAACCTCAATTAAACCTAACGTTACAATTGTAATTACCTAGTGCCTACTTCCGTACCGTGATTCCCACAATGCATTGCGACGTGACGACATGATCCCGAGCTCTATTGACTAAAGCATTAAATATTTGACACCAGTGTGTGTAAGACGGATGACGTGAAGCATAAATTGCATGCAACGCTGTTTTGGAGCGTGAATTCAGCATGCGTCTCCGTTCAGCTTCATTGATTCAGTCTTAAAGCGTCTCTAGTGAAGAAAATCAGTGGAGTTTGGAAGCACACAGGGGATTTATAGGAACGGGGCTCAAGCATTTCTGTCAAATAAGGATGCAGTATTCATTTTTGGGTCCGCAAAAGGAGTCATTAGACATGTTCAGGCAGAATGAATTATGCATCGTCACACCTGTGCATGAGTTCGACTTCTGTCGTGTGTGTTTAGATATTCATCGTCACACCTGTGCATGAGTTCGGCTTCTGCAGTGTGTGTTTAGAGCAGGTTTCTGTGAACACGACCGTCCCGATGTTGAGGAGCTGACAGGACAGCGTGTGAAAGCTGTGTGTGATTGTTCATTTAAGAGGAAACACAGATGGTGAGACTGTGTAATGCACTCAGTGTGTGTGTGTGTGATAATACACCTTACAGGTGCAACACAGCCTGAAACACCAGAGCATGATGGGACATCAGTCCACATTACTCTAAAGCAGGGTTTCACAAACTTGGGTTTGACTGTTGGGTGTTCGTGAGTGGATGATAAAAATAAAGCACTTACTAAAAAAAATGTAATTTATTTAAATTTAAATTATTATTATTTATTTATTTATTTAAATAAATAATTTTAAAAAATATTTATTTATAAAAAAAAATATTTTTATTTTATTTAAATAATTATTATATTATACACTCACTAAAAAATGAAATCATATAAATGTTAAACAAAAAAATCCTAAATAATTTAAAAATAACATTCAAAATAAAACACTTGCTGAAATTTTAAAAATCTTAAATATGTCAATATAAAATGCATCTTTTCATTATATATAAGGAGTTGTAATTATAGAAAGTAATTTGTTATATAAATGTAAAAATGTATATAAATATAAAATAATTATATTACAATTATTCATTTTAACTTTACATATTTATGATTTAAAGTCAAAATAAAGCACTTACTAAAAATGAATTAAATCAAAAAAAATTTAAATTAAAAAAGTCCAAATAGTTAAAAAAAATACATTAAGTAATTTGTGTACCTGTTAAAATAAAAATGATTAGAAAAAACTGACTAAAAATACATTTAATAAATATTTAAATTATTTAAAAAATAAAAACAATAAAAAAACACTTACTAAAATTATTTAAATCATATGAATGTGCAATTTAATATTTCTAAAATAATTATTAAATCATAAATATGTAAAGGTAAAATAAATAATTATAAAATAAAGCACTTACTAAAAAATTATTAAATCTAAAAAATGTCTTTTCTCATCATATATCAGTAGTTATAATTACAGGGAGTATCTTTGACCATTAATCGTCATTAGAGAACAGGAATTTTTGAATTTGTGGTTAAATTATTGAAATACTAAATTAAAATCTCATCATGGGTTGGGGAAAAAATCCTCTAAAAAAAGATTTTCTATTAATTTTAATGGAGCAAGGGGAATGGACCATTTAGTTTGTGTGATTCATATTCATAATATTCATGCATATTTTTATATCCATAAAAAAAACATTTTCATTTTTTATTTATGCATACGAATCACAAACTAAACGGTGCGTTCCCTTCCTCCATTAGGATTAATACAACATGTTTTAAGCTCTAATTATTTGTGACTCGTTTACAATTCCCAATTCATGAAATGAATAATATGTAAGGATTATTCAATTTAAATTGATGGAATTTTACCATAAAATTGAAATTCGTAAATCTTAAAAAAAGGCTTTTGTGAATCGAATCCATGCTTTAAAACTAAGAGAGATTTGATACTATAGATTGCTACTGTTGTTCGAGATCATGTTGCGTTGTTTTCAGTGTGTGTGTGTGTGTGTCAGAGAGCAGTGGAGCTGATCCCACATGTGAGTCTGGTTAGACTGCCGTGTCCCTCGGCCCTGGGCTTGGAGCGAGATCAGTGTGAGTCTGGCGTGATGTCCCGATGCCGGAGGAGGAGAGGAGTCTGGGATGCCGGAGGAATGGAAGCGTTTCAAAGAAAAGCACAAGCCCACTCACACACTCTCTCCTCTGGGCGAGCGGGGTTATTCTGAGACTCGTGTGTGTGTGTATGAGAGAGTGTGAGAGTGTGTGTGTGTGTGTATGAAAGAGTGTGAGTGTGCGTGTGTGTATGAGAGAGTGTGAGAGTTTGAGAGTGTGTGTGTGTGTGTGTGTGTATGACATCATCTGAAACTAATAACAGCGTCGTCGATTATTATTTGCTCTCTCCTCAGTTCTGGCCAACACTGGCTACATGTGCAATATTCATACGTCTGTAATTAATATACAATATCATTGATTTGAGCTAATCTGTTTTACTAACCCGAGACAGAAACACTTTAACTCCGGGTTTAGCAACACTTATACTTGCAGAAGTTGAAAAAAGGGTTATTTGAACTGAATATTAATGAGTTATGTTGTTGACATTGAATATTAATGAGCTTTTGTCTTTCTCTTGATTGTGTTTCATGACTGATGTGTGTGTGTGTGTGTTTCAGTCTGTTCCAGCACTACTGTTACTCTCGCGGAGGAATGCGTCACACCTCGTACACCTGCATCTGTGGAAGGTACAACACTACTGTGTGTGTGTGTGTGTGTGTGTGTGTGTGTGTGTGTGACCTCGTACACCTGCATTTGTGGAAAGTACAACACTATTACTGAAGCTGTTACTGGGGCTTACGGTCACACTGACCACACGCTTACTGTGCAATAACACTGACCAGAGGAAATGACTAGTGTGTGTGTGTGTGTGTGTGTCTTGTTAGTGAGAGACTCTTAGTATCTGATATTGTGTCCCCAGAGCAAGAGATGTGTCTGAGTTAAATCAGTTCAATCACAGCGAACATCTGGACTGATGATAAACTTCACACACACACACACACACACACGTTTTGGATTCAATCTTAAATCCACAGTTCACCTAAAAATGTGATCGCACTTCTATAAAATGAAGTGAATATGACATTATTTAAGTGTTTTGAAATCATGTGATTGTGTGATATGATAACACACCCAAAGATTGCTTCTGTGTTGTATCTGCAGATCTTCTTATGATATTTAGTGAATAATAACTTGTTTTTGGGGGGTGAAGTGTAATTTAATACTTTTTAAAGTCAAAATATGTATTAATGTGAACGCTCATGAGCATTGAAACACTTTTACCCATAATGCATCTGTCACTGAGGAACTGCCTGAACATCATTATAGATTTAAAGATCGATGATGTTCATTTGATATGTTAATTATTTGAGTTGTTTGGTTGTGTGTGAACAGTGGGAATAACTCCTCCGTCCTGCATTACGGACACGCCGGCTCTCCCAATGACAGAACCATCCAGGACGGAGACATGTGGTGAGTTCATCAGCCTCTTTCACACACATTTCTTCATTACTTTGATGATCATGTCCTGTGTCGGCTGGTTTACAGTCAGTAGGGATTCAGTAATATTCAGGGTTTATGGTGTCTCTATGAGCAGTCTCACACTGACCCCTGGTGGACACGACACACACACACACACACACTTCACTTTCTGCAAGAGATATGATTTAAAGTAGAAGCTGATTTACTATAATCAAATGATATTTACATCTATGTTTAAATCAGTTTTAAGCTTTATTTGGAAAACTTGCATCAAAATACAATATTCATAAACAAAACTTTCTTCAAAGGAAATTACAGAATTTCAGTGTTTAGTGGAAATATAAAAATGTCATTTATTGCATTAATATCCTGTATATTGAAAAAATAACATTTTAAGTTGTGTTGAAATCTATAATATAAAAAGGGGAAATGGGGTATGAATATGTCTTTTCCTGAAGCTTTATTTTTTTGGTGATACTTACATCCATTTTCAATATCTAAAAACTGATTAATTAATATAAAGATTAGCGATAGTTGACATTCTACGAACCATAACTTTGCAACTACATGTTAACTTATTGTCATTAGAGTATTAGTAGATTGCTTGATATTATTAGTAGTATGCTAAATATCTGCTAACATTTTATTTTGATGGATATTTGACTAACTATAAGTAACTTGGCAATTAAATGTCAATTTAATCTAATAACTTGACCCCTAATTTAACAGTCTACTAATACTCTAATGAGACTTGACATGTAGTTGCAAAGTTACTAATAGTCTATAGTCTTCTGACCTGTAATGCTGCATGAATCATAATCATACTCATAATCATGCACTGCTTTTTTCTGAATTAATGACTTGATTATCTCAAAAATTAGGAGTAAATACTTCATTCATAAAAACAGAATGAAAAAAACATTTTTCAAGAAAAATATATCTCATAATTGTGAGATAATTAACTCGTTAATTCAGAAAAACAGAGCAAAAACTTTATTTTCCATGAAGTTTGATCTCGTAATTAAAGCGTTAATTCAGAAAAAACAGAGCAAAAACTGTTTTCCTATGAAAAATGATCTCATAATTAAACTAATTAAAAAAGAGCAAAAACTTTTTTCCATGAAAAAATATCTCATAATTAAATTGTTAATTCAAAAAAAGAGCAAAAACTATTTTTACATGAAAAATATCTCATAATTAAATTGTTAATTCAGAAAAACAGAGCAAAAACTTTTGCCCGCGGAAAATTTTCTCATAATTAAATTGTTCATTCAAAAAAGAGCAAAAATTATTTTTACATGAAAAAATATCTCATAATTTAATCGTTAATTCAGAAAAACAGAGCAAAAAACTTTTTTTCCCCATGAAAAATTATCTCATAATTAAATCATTATTCATAAAACAGCAAAAACTTTTTTACCCATGAAAATTATCTCATAATTAAAGCGTTAATTCAGAAAAACAGAGCAAAAACTTTTTCCAAAGAAAAATGATCTCGCAATTCTGAGATAATTAATTCATAAAAACAGAGCAAAAACTTTCTTTTCTATGAAAAGATCATAAATCTCATAATTCTGAGATAATTAACTCATTAATTCAGAAAAAACAGAGCAAAAACTTTCTTTTCTATGAAAAGATCATAATTCTGAAAAGATCAATTATCTCATAATTCTGAGATAATTAACTCATTAATTCAGAAAAACAGAGCAAAAACTTTCTTTTCTATGAAAAGATCATAATTCTGAAAAGATCAATTATCTCATAATTCTGAGATAATTAACTCATTAATTCAGAAAAACAGAGCAAAAACTTTCTTTTCTATGAAAAGATCATAATTCTGAAAAGATCAATTATCTCATAATTCTGAGATAATTAACTCATTAATTCAGAAAAACAGAGCAAAAACTTTCTTTTCTATGAAAAGATCATAATTCTGAAAAGATCATAAATCTCATCATTCTGAGATAATTAACTCATTAACTCAGAAAAACAGAGTAGATTTTGTGAATGCAATACGCTTCCAAAAAAACAAACTTTGTTGCATTATTTTTCTGTTTCTGCTCTGAAACACTCTGTACTGTAAGAAGCGCTGTGAATAAAGGTGTCTTGATTAGAGTATGGAAATACAGATGATGATGTAAGCGCTGTTTCCTGTCAGTCTGTTTGACATGGGCGGCGAGTATTACTGCTACTCCTCCGACATCACCTGCTCCTTCCCGGCCAACGGCAAGTTCAGCGCGGACCAGAGAGCCGTTTATGAAGCCGTGCTGAAGTCCTCCCGAGCCGTCATGGACGCCATCAAACCCGGTACACACTCCGAGACTCGATAACACACACCGGCAGCAAAACTGCTTTTACACTCAATAAACTCAGTGTTTCCAGACACACACTTATTAGACTATCATATACACTAACAGCCAAAAGGATTGGGTATCTGTCTATTCTGCTCACCAGATGTGTTTATTTGATCAAAAAATACAGTAAAAAATGTATATATTTTTAGAATTTAATACAACTGTTTTCTATGTGAATATACAGTAAAGTGTAATTTATTCCTGTGATTTTCAGCATCATTACTCCAGTCTTCAGTGTCACATGACCCTTCAGAAATCATGATGATCTGATGCAAACATTTATGATTATTATCAGTGTTGAAAACATTTAAAATCATCATATTTTTGTGTAAACCTTCATGCATTTTATTTTTACGGATTCTTTGATGAATAGAAAGTTCAAAAGAACAGCATATATTTGAAATGCAATCTTTTATAACATTATAAATATCTTTACAATCACTCTTGATCAATGTAATGCGTCTTTATTGAATAAAATTATTAATTTCTTAATTTCCACGCTTTTAAATGGTAGCACACATTGAAATTTGAGCCTAAAAAGACAAATAGACACTGTGTGTGTTTGGTTTAAAGACGAAGAGAGCGTCAGTCCTCCGCTGTAAAATGACCTTTGACCTCAGCATAATCGAGCACTTTTCGAGCACTTCTTGTGTTGTTTTAGCCTCTTCTCGACGACTCTCTCGCTGTAGTCCTCGTCTGTAATGCGCTTTGGACTACGGCGTGTGCTAAATGTGAATGTGATGAGGGTGTGGTCTCAGTGGTGTGTTGATGTGCCGGTCAGGTGTGAAGTGGACCGACATGCACCGTCTGGCGGACCGGATCCACCTGGAGGAGCTGCTGAAGATGGGGATCCTGCGCGGGTCCGTGGAGGACATGCTGAAGGTCCATCTGGGCTCCGTCTTCATGCCTCACGGTCTGGGTCACCTACTGGGCATCGACGTCCACGACGTGGGAGGATATCCAGAGGTCCGTTCTCGGATTCACATTCACACACTTTTTTTCTCTATTTAATTTACAGGTGAAACTCGAAAAATGAGAATATCGTTTAACTTAAAAGGTGAAACTAATATACTTATATAGACTCATTACATGCGAACTGAGATATTTCAAGCCTTTATTTGTTATAATTTTGATGATTATGGCTTGAAAACCTTTTCACAATAGTCTAATTTTGAATTTTGGGTTCTCATAAGCTGTAATCCATAATCATCAAAATTATAACAAATAAAATTCGCCACCAGGGGTCGCTAACCTCTTAACCCCCACTAACCCCGCTGGACCAGGTTGAAAAATCGTCAATGCAAGTGAATGAGAGAAAATAATTATTTTCGAATCCCGTTTGAATTTTGCGATGAAGGTGAACACATGTTGTCTGTGAATTTTTTATATAATTTTTTTGTGTAAGAATGCTTCAATTTAGCGGGTAGAATTTTAAGTGTCTGTGTTTCTGAACTGTGTGTGTGTGTGTGTGTTGTTCAGGGCGTGGAGCGCGTGGACGAGCCGGGGCTGAAGAGTCTCCGGATGGGTCGTGTGGTGCAGGAGCGGATGGTCCTCACGGTGGAGCCGGGGATATATTTCATCAATCACCTGCTGGATAAAGCGCTCGACTCCCCGACTCAGTGCGGCTTCATCAACAGGGACGTCCTCGATCGCTTCCGCGGCTTCGGCGGGGTCAGACTAACTAATAATACGCATTACAGTCCTTTCTTTAACACCAGATCATTTTTGCTGATAATTTTGTTGATGTGTCAATATATTTGCTATAATATGTTTCTTTTACTTTATAATCAAAAGGTCTTCAGAGTTTCAGAATCAGATTTGATAAGTGAACATTCTGAATGTTCAGGTTTTATTATGCTGTTTCGAATATTAACTTTCATGCTGTGTGTGAATGTTTTATAGTGCAGATAAATGTAGTTTTGTCTCCTAAAAGAAAGACGTGATTCTGAAACGAGTCGTCAGTAATCATGCTGAACTCATTAGCATAATGCCAGCCTGTGGTGTTGATTGGCTGAGCAGCGTCTCTTAGCTCCGCCCTCAAACACTAGTGTATCTGAGACTGGAAGAGTTCGACTTTTGTGAGATTGATACGGTGAAACCCACGCCATCGTTACTGTTCGTATCACTGAGATTCAGATATGATAATGAGCCAATCACAGCAGAGCAGCTCTCAGAGAGGCGGAGCTTAGAGAGACTGAAGCGTTTCAGACACTGAGAGTGTATTCACACCAGGAAAGTCCGATTGTTCACTTGCTTTGGTCCGGACCAAATCATTATTTATTTTTTTTATTTTTTGGTACGGTTCGCTTTCACACTGCTCTTTTTTTTTTTCTTTTTCAGGCAATAGCACAAAAGTACAAGGCAGACAAAATGTTTGTTAAGTCATACAGTGCAAAAGGAAACAAGAAACAAACAAAAAAACAACAAACAAAACAAATCGAATTCTGTCTGAAAGGGAGTGGGAAGAAGAAAACTTATTTAATCCCACCCCAGTTCACCACTTGGTGATTAATACATTAAGCTTCATGTTTACTTTGGTCACGGATTGTTTACATAGGTTGTATCATGGTGGCGTTACCACAGCCACAAGAATTTATTATAACAACATTACCAACAATTTAAGAAGAATAAACAATGCCAACTATGGTAATGAACAATATACCAATGATGGTAATGGACCACTTTTGCAAGTGAACCAAAATTTGTAAACAAAACCACAGGTGTGCTAAGGTCGTCCATTCATTGGACAAGGAATATCAAGTAAGGAAAGTGCAAAAAAGGCTCAGCATGGAGATATTTCCTACTGCAATATTTGTTCTTTTACTAATTTTGTGTTATTCTGTACAAATGCAATATGAAGAAACTAATGACTCTGAGTAATGTCATCTATACGACGTTGCAATTCGGATTTTGAGAAGACGACGAGTGTAACGTTTGAGTGGCTCTATTAAACGCGCGGTAATACGACAACTCTCGTCTCTCGTGCATCTTTTCATTCGACCATCTACTGTTTTTTTTTGTATCTCTGGGGAACATCTCAACTTTGCGTTACAAGTGGCACTTCGCAGAAGACGGATAAGGTATAAAGTTTATAAGAGAGAGGGGCTATGTTCACTCATTCAAATAATGAGATTCGTATTGTATATACTGCTATCAAGTGCTGTCAATGTTAACGCTTGCGATTAACGTTAAGTTTGTCCAGTTTAACGTAAATTAACGCATCATCATCCTTGTATTGTAACTATCCTTACATTATGAACTGCAAATGCTTTTTTTTGGATCTATGTGCGATTTGACTAAGACCCCATTTACACCTGGTATTAAAATGCGATCTGTATCCAGATAAGTTATCCGGATAATAAGTACCGATTCCATTTACACCTGGCCACATAAATGTGTTTTTGCAAAACGGATATAAATCCGATCTTCAACTCTTCAAGTTATATGCAGATTTATTGGATTGCACGCCACCAAAAGCAACAGATCTGACATGCATTTTATTGATCATCAGCTAATTTTCAAATCAAAGACATTAATAAGAGAGAGTGACAACAGCCCTGGTGAGAAAATTTCGTTTCTTTACTTGAAGATGATTGTGTGTTAACTGCGTCTGTGACTTACTTTCACTTTTATTTGGGATGTTTGCACGTTGAATAGACGCTCAGCTGCTCATCTGCGGTGATGCGTGTCGCGTCATATCTGACTATAACATGACATATAGCCTATATAACACGCTCTTACTTTATTTTTTAGCATTTTTGGGAGGAGTAAAATATACATATGCGGTTTCAACAACCAGATTGCGTTTACACCTAGTAAAGATCCGGACACAATACGAGCCAGACTACCTCCAGATGTGGTCAGGCAGATCCGATCACAACGTATTTACACCTTGCATTAACATGCGTTTTTTTAAAATAATCTCGATAACTTATCTGGATACAGATCGCATTTTAAAGGAGAACTCCGGCGCAAAATGAACCTTTGGTCTAATTACACATTGTTACCTAGTCAACCGTTATCTGAGATGATTGCCGAATGTAAATAGTTTTATCTCTAAAAACAGTTTAGCCTATAACGCTAGTATAACGCTAGTATATAGGGCATAGAGTAATGACAAATAAAAACTGCTTGTTATTACCACTAAAAAGGCTCAAAATAGCCCCCACAGTTTATTAAGAAGATATTTTATACACACGGTCAACTTCGCGAATACAGGAAGAAGCCATCTTTGAAAAATAGTCTCGATCAGTCGATCTATGAACGCCGATCCATGTGCGCTGAACTGTTCAGAATCTCATATGGTCCGTTGTTTCCAGAAGAAACACAAACACAAACCGTTTTCTTCTCTTAAGTATGTACTCATAGCCTACTGTTCGCGCTCACCTTATCACCTTATTCACATCTCACCAGCGCACTTGGATTAGCATTCGGAGATCGACTGGTAGAGACTATTTTTCTAAGATGGCTTCTTCCTGTATTCGTGAAGTTGACTGTGTGTGTATAAAATATCTTCTTATTAAACTGTATGGACACTGACAAAGTTCTCAATGCTTCGGTTTGAATGTAGGGACTCTTGTTATGCTATCGTGTTAGTGTGGGGCTATTTTGAGCCTTTTTAGTGGTAATAACAAGCAGTTTTTATTTGTCATTACTCTATGCCCTATATACTAGCGTTATAGGCTAAACTGTTTTTAGAGATAAAACTATTTACATTCGGCAATCATGAAAACAAATCTCAGATAACGGTTGACTAGGTAACAATGTGTAATTAGACCGAAGGTTCATTTTGCGCCGGAGTTGTCCTTTAATACCAGGTGTAAATGGGGTCTTAGAGAACGCTCTGTATGTGAATGTCCTGATGCACACACTCTTTCATTCATTCATTCCATGATGCACACACGACATGCAGAAAGACGCGCAGCAGTATCGTGTGGCCAGACCGCGCGCCGGAATATTTTCTTTCGACGCAGTGCGCTCTTGCAATTGGGTCGGTTCATGTTCACACCGTAAACGAACCGTACCGAGACCACCTCTTCAGCTGGGTCTCGGTTCGGTTTGGTCCGCACCCGAGTTCGATTGCTGTATTCACACTTGCCCAAAAGGTCCGCACCAAGAGGGGAAACGAACTAGTTCGATTCAATCAAACCAAACAAGGCAAGTGTGAATACACCCTGAGAGAAAAGAGCTGGTGCTGAAATTACAGTATATGATGAGATGGGGGTGTTGTGCCGAATTTCGACCCCCGCCAAATTATTACCCCCCTAGTATTGGTAGGTTTAGGATTAGTTGTGGGGGAGGGGTTAAGATTAGGGGCGGGGTTGGGATTAGGCAATCAGGTACTGACTTCAACGAGGGGGGTAATAATTTGGCAGGGGGTCGAAATTAGGCACAACAGGGGAAATTAAAGTGTATATATGAGAAAATTAAATGATCGTGTGTGTGTCTCAGGTGCGCATTGAGGATGATATCGCTGTGACGGCTGACGGCGTGGAGCTTCTGACCTGCGTTCCTCGAACCGTGGAGGAGATCGAGGCGTTCATGGCCGAAACGTCCAAACCCTTCAGTCCCATCAGCAGCCAGAAACTCTGAGATTATGATGATGATGATGATGATGATGATGATGACACTCCTTTTCTTCAACATATCAGACTTTAAACTTTAAGTAAATGAGTATCTTTGATATTTCATTCTATAAAGGGAAACACAACATGTGAACGCTTCTCTATGATTTCACTTATGGAAATCAGTGTCAAAAATGTATTATTGGATCATTTATGCTTTCAGTCGTAACATTTTCAGAGATTGATTCTTAATAAAAGCAGTTCTCAACATTGTTTAGCCTGAGTTCAACTTTACTCATTTCATTTGCATTTTATCCTGTTCACTTTTTGCAAGTTTGTAAGAAAACAAAATGCTTATTTTTAATAAACTGTTTAACCCCATATGAGTTGTTTTTGTCGACCTAAACGTGTTTGAACAGCAGTAAACAGACACACACTGTGTGAATGAAGCGCTGTTACACTTCAACGACACAATCATCTTTACGTTTGTTCATGATTTGAGCTGAAGAAGTTAAATGTATTTTACATGTTTTAAATGATCCTGAAGTGTAAGATTGTCTTTCTTCATTCCAGCAGATTCTAGATGAACTTGTTTCCACGCGTGTAAAACAATAGTTGATCTGTTACTACACTAATATTGCCGTTGAGTCACATGACTTCTCTTTAATGAACTATAATCAGCTGAATAAAGCGAGTTACTCTTCATGAGGGTGCGACACTTTAATGTCAGTTTGCATCATTAATTGTGTTCATCTCAAGTGTGTGTGTGTTTCGGCGTCCAGAGAAACGAGTTGAAAAGATCGAAAGCATTTTTGTCGTCTCGTGTGTCTACCTGAAATTCAACAATGAAAGAGACGGAGTCCCTTAAACTCTCAAGTCTTGCTCTCTAACAGCACACTGTGTTTATTTAGAAGACTGTTTAAACATACTTACTATAATTGCTATTAATAAAAAAGAAAGAGATGCAAATTTCTCTTTTGCATATTTTCTGCTATTGCTTCTTGTAGTTTATATCATAAACTTGACATTGTATGATTAATGTTGACTTGTGATGTTCCTCATTTTGGATAAAAGCATCTGCTAAAGGAATAAAAGCAAGTATTTGTTTCTGTGTCGGGAGACAGAGCCGTAATGGCCGCCATCAAACCAGATTTAAGAAAGCGTCGCAATACAGAATACTAGGAGCAAAACTGCGTTCAGAGAGACATGATAAAACATATAATCATCTCCATGTTCAGGATATTAATATAACTGGTGGGATTCTTCTCTGACGCCACACTTTCTTCTCGCCTGTTGTCTGAAAGTTAGTCTTTAGCTTTTACTCAAATGTTCTGGTTATATGAGGCCTGACCTCGGACTATCATCAGCATAAAGTCTGATCTACATTATTCAGCGCCTTTTTCCACCAAAGCATTTTGAGAGCCGTGTCGGAGCCGGTGTCGACTCGCGATCCAGTTCTGTGTGTTTCCACAGCCAAAGAACCGGTTCTCGACCAGGAAAATCGGTTCCAAGGCGGTTCTGCTGGACTAGAACCGTTCTTTAAACACGTCATGCTTACGTCGAGGGCTGGGGAAGGGTTATTGAGACCAACAAAACGACGGGATTGGGAAAGACGTATGGCGACGTACACAGTGACGTAGCGACGTCGTTCGCTGGCTCTCGAGTGGAAAAACAAACAGGTTCTGCGAAGGTTGAACCAGCAATCTGAACAATGCTGGGTTGTTTTAACCCAAATTTGGGTCAAATATGGACAAACCCAAATATTGGGTTAAAAATGTGATTAAGCCAACTTCAACTTTCACTTTCAACTGTAACATTTTTTATTACATTTTTAACCCAACATTTGTGTTTGTCCTTATTTGACCCAAAGTTGGGTTAAAACAACCCAGCATTTTTTAGAGTGAGCACCAGTTCTGAACCAGTTCCTTTTTGGTGGAAACGAGATCATTTTGGCCAAGAACCGCACGCCGAGAGGAGAACACACCGTCTGACTGACACGTTCAGTGATGTGTGTTTTGTTTTTACATGTTTTTAGGGTCAGATTTATCTGAAAATGAACAATAAAACACACAGATGTGTCAGATAATGGTGTGGCAGTTTCCACAGAAGGTTGTACAGAAATGTGTGGATCTGTGATCATAGTTTCTGCTTTTCCATAAAGTACAGAGTCTTGCACATATACAGTCAAACCAAACATTATTCAGACACCAGATATAATTGTTCATGTTTTGCTAGTGTGATCAGGACACTATGGTTCATTTATGTAAGTGAGGAGAGCATTATAAAGTAAACTGTGACATGTTTAAAACATGAACATGAAACCGTGACAATAGTCAAATAACTCTGAGTTCTGCTCATATTTATCACCATTTTCTAAACTAGAGCGAATAAACCGTGATAATGTGAGAAATGTTGAAGATGTTGAATGTTGGTTTGACTGTATATTATTGAGAAAAGATGCTACTAAAAGAGATCTGATCCCACTAATCTAAGACTGTAGTTCTTCAAGTCTATAACTCGCTGAGTAACTCTGAGAGACTGTGAATAATCGAGAGCAGAAACACGAGTCCTCGGCTGTGAACAGAAATGCTCTCGATCTCTGTGAGGATCAGAGGACTGAGGGTTTGCTGGATTAAATGTGTGTGTGGATTGACACACTCCATCATTTAGTGTTGTGTGTCTTTAGTTTGTTTCCAGCAGTTCAGTTGTGATTCTGCTCTTCTCAGAAACCTTCAGCTCTTCTCTGAAATATTGAAAAACATGTTTATTGGAATGATGTTTCAGTTTTAAGAAAGACGGACACTCCTAGATACAGCATGTCATATATCTGGTTGTGTCACTCAGATGTTAAATGTGTTTTTACTTTTACTTTACTTTTACCTTATCTTACTGTTTGTTTGCGCGATCTCTAAGGGTTTATAAGCGTGAGCTGGTTAACAAGAGGTTTAAACAGGACTTTCACAATCCTCAAACACCAGCGCAGACTAAAAATGGCACCCAAAAGGGTCCTAAACATGTATACAGGAAATATTAGAGGGTGGAACGAAGATGAAAAAAGGGAATTTAGAGAGCGACGGCTGAATTATTTTCCAGATTTTCTCTTCAAACTATTTGATCCTCCTTATCCATCTAGACGTATACACCTGAGTGGTTTTCTCTTCAGACCCTCTTCAACCCCAAAAGCATTCAAGTGGATAGAATACATCTATAATTCGCATCCACAACTCAGTTTTCAGTTGGATCACAGAGTTGAACATCAAAACACAGATGTGATTTCTATCAGTGGTAGTTCTGAAGACATGCAGAGGTTTAGCAGGGATTTTGGAAAGAACCTGGAAAAAATTTGTCCTGAACTGGTCTGGTTAAAGGAATGGGTGCAGTTTGATACTGATAATTAAAGAAGGGGTGCCAAAAACATAAGGTAAGAAAATATTGTATACGATTCATACATTAATTGCAATTAATAAGGAACATAAAAATAGTTGAGTGTTTGTTTGGTTTATCTGTTTATTACTTTCATCTTAAAATATTATTTAACAATATTTTTTTTTACTATCACTAACCCCAACATAACATGAACTAACAAAATGTAAGAAAATGTGAATTGATATTAAATCATGAAAACCTACTGTTTTCTGAGAACTGATTAATGTGTACTCTATAATAATAGACATATGGATCATGAATATAATATCATCATATAGTTTCATCTCTATCACACAGAAATCATGTTTTTAGCTGATGGGAGTCCTTGAAGATCTCAAGATCTGCAGCATTTGACCAGATTTAAAGCAGACCAAACATGAATTCCTTGTATTTCTTGTGTTTCTCTTCTCTGTCACATTCAAGCCAAACAGTTGTGATTAAACGTCACACAGCCGTAACACTTTTTACTCAAATGAATTTTTCTCAGGATGTGTTTATTGTTGAAAGTCCATTTCTGTAAAAAAAAAAAAAACACCATTAAAGTCATGACTAAAAAAGAATCTAGCAGACATTTTCACTTTATTACACTGTTACCAATAACCTCTTGTGGCAGAAGCAGTGACAGGACATGATGTCACACTGTTGGTAAGTTGTCACCATGCAACCTGCCATTAAACTATTATTATGTATGTCAGTGCAAGCCATTTTAACATGTAATCCTTTAAACCTACAAGTCTCTATTTTCATGCTACTAGTACTTATTCATTTAGATTCTAGTGCCTATGAAATTGGTGTGTCTGATTATTGTTGCCGTGACTACTGAGTTCAGACACAACTGAACTAATCAATTTGTCCAATAATGGCAGACAGGAAACAAGCCCTGCGTCCCAATTCACTTACTTATACTACGCCCTAAAAGTATGTACTCTTTTTGTGAGGAAAAAGTACATACTTTTGAGTGTGTAGCAAAAGAGTAGGCAAGCTTTGGGACTACTATCACGTCATCTTTAACGGACAGCTGTGTCGCGTGCTGCGTGGATCATGTCACCATAAACTGCCCTGTCAATCATCCTGTCACAGTTAAAATCCTCCATTCTATTTTTAACAATCATGAAAAATCATGGATGATCATTGTGGTCCAGATATTTTAATATGCTTTCTTATTTTAACTATATACAGTATTATATACACAGTACTGTGTGTCTGGGATTGGGTTTGATGATTAATCTGTAGTTTGGGACACATCTGAATAAAGTCATGGAAACTCCAGGTTGTGCTGATATATCATTGAGCTCCTGTTGCTGATGAATTTAGTTTATAATTATTACAGATATTCTCTGTTTTTCATTAAACAAGATAAGTGTGTTTTACAAACAAATCATATATTCCAGATAGACTTGATGGAGATTGATGGATAAGTAAATGAGTATCTTTGATATTTCATTCTATAAAGGGAAACGCAACATGTGGCCGCTTCTGTCTGTATAAATTCACTTATGGAAATCAGTGTCAAAAACTAATTACCGGATCATTTATGCTTTCATGTAGCAGTTGTAACATTTCTTAATAAAAGCTGTTCTGAACTTTATTTAGCCTGACTTCAGCTTTACTCAACTCAATTTTGCAAGTTTGTAAGAAAATGCAATGCTTGTATTTAATAAATCTTGGTAATCAGTTTTTGGAGATTGTCTTTCTTCATTCCAGCAGATTCTAGATGAACTTGTTTCCACGCGTGTAAAACAATAGTTGATCACACTAAGATTGTTGTTGAGTCACATGACTTCTCTTCAATGAACATTACAGTAAATCAGCTGAATAAAGCGAGTTACTCTTCATGAAGATATACGTGTCACATATGACTCGTCTGAGAACCAAATCTTATATGTGAACAAAACTTCCTGTCATCTGACATTTGGCTTGCACAATCATAGGGTTTGTGAGCTGGTTAAGAGGTTTAAACAGGACCTTTGCAATCTTTACACACCAGCGCACACTAGAGATGGCAACAGGAATAGTGAACAGCATCTACGGAGTAGTGGATGCTACAGAGTGGAACAGCAATCGTCGAAAAACACGCCGAGATAATCAGCTGGACGGAAATGCAGATGTTCTCTTTGGAGTGTATAAACCAGTATTTCCATCCATTAGGGAAAAACTACATGGTCTTCTCTTCAGACCTGAAAGAGATCCCATCTGGTGGATGATGATCATCAGAGAAAAACATAAAAACCTCACTGTTCAGTGGGCTCACAGACAAGTTACTGAGCCCG